GAACACCCGACAGCCCAGAACACCCGACAGCCCAGAACACCCCACAGCCCCGAGCACCCGACAGCCCAGAACACCCGACAGCCCAGAACACCCGATAGCCCAGAGCACCCGACAGCCCAGAACACCCAACAGCCTAGAACACCCGACAGCCCAGAACACCCGACAGCCTAGAACACCCTAGGGGACAGTTCTGCTCTGTCACAGTCAGCTGCTATGAGTCGAAATGGACTTGATGGTACCCAACAAGGTTCATTTATTTTTCATTTTCTCCTCCTCTGCTGTTCCTTTTTTCCCTCCTCTTTCCTTTATGACACTAAAATCACGGTAGGCCTTCAGGTCCTGCAGACCCCTGGGAAACACTGCTAGCTGTGAATGATCTTTCTCGTAGCCAGCCAAGTGCTATAGCACCGGAGCAACCATCTCAGTATGACAGACATCTCCTCAGAGGAGCTGTTGGGCTCTGTAAGAGGTTCCTAATGGAGTGGGAATTGTGTCGTTAGCAGAGGAATTAAGAGGGGAAGATCTGTTTGCTCTGATGGGAATGGTCTTGGCCAGGGTATAGTGGTGGGCGTATAGCAGTGCTTAGAACCCTCAGACAGCAAGCACACTGTAGCAGGAGACTACCCAGAGCAGCATGTGACGTGGGAGAGCGGAGAGATTCAGACTTCCACCCAGAGTGAGGTAGGGGAAGAAATGGGTGACGTGATCCGACTTACCTTTTAAAAGGATCCCTCTGGCAGCTGTGTTGAGGACATAGTGTGGAGGGCCATGGCCAAAGCAGGGACACTGGCGAGAAAGTATGTGAGTCTCCTAGGTCTGCCAGAGCAATGACTGCCCTGGAGGCTAGAATGGAGCCCTGGCGGTGGAACCCTCCCAGTGACTGTGGAAGAAAGGGCTGGCGATGGGCTCCTGGGAACCTTACAGCCTGGAAAACACCACAGGGCCCATCTGCTCTGTCACTTGGTGTCTCTGTGAGTCGGAATCAACTCAGTGTTACCCCACAGCAGCAGCGGCCTGTCAGTAAGCTGTGGTTTCCTCTGCAGTCTCTGAGGGAGGACTTCTCCCGTACCATACTCTCCTGGCTTCTGGTGGTTGCCAACAGTCCTTGGCCTTCCTTGGCTTGTAGACACACCACTCCAGTCAGTCTCTGCCTTGGTCTTCACCGGGCTGTTTCCGGTCTCTGTGTCTCCACATCTCTCCTTAAAAGGACACTAGTCATGGTATTTAGGGCCCACCCGAATCCAGTGTGGTCTCACCCTAACTTGATGACATCTATAAAGAGCTTATCTCCAAGTAAGGTCATAGGCATCGGGTCCTTTGTTGTTGTTAAGTGCCGTTGAGTTGGTTCTGACTCATAGTGACCCTGTCTGTAAAGCTGGGTTTGAGCTGTTGACCTTGTGGTTTGCAGTCCAGTACTGATCCTACAGCACCACTCCAGGAGTCCGATTCCTAGTGGGCATGAATTTTTTTGGAGGACACTATTCAGTACAGTAAGGCGCTCTGGTAGCGTAGTGGCTGTGAATTGGGCTGCAAACCTTATGGTCATCAGTTCGAAACTACCAGCTGCTCTGCGGGGAGAAAGATGAGGCTTTCTGCTCCCGTAAAGATTTACAACCTCGGAAACCCTGTACTTGGTCTCTATGGGTCGGAACCAACTCGACGGCACTTAACAACAACAGCAACAATTCAGTACAGTACAGAGTTCGACTGCAAAGTGTAAGGTCTGTGGTTAGAACCCATACCCGCTCTGCAGAAGAAAGATGTGGCCGTCTCTTTCCATAAAGATTTACAGCTTTGGAAACCCTGTCAGGCAATTCTACTCTGTCGTATAGCGTACCTGTAAGTTAGAGGGCATGGAGGGCAGGCCTATACAGAAGGAGCCCTGGTGGTGCAGTGACTAAAGCAGCTCAACTGAGTTTCTAGCCTGTCAGCCCCTCTGTGGAAGAAAGAAGTGGCAGTCTGTTTCTGTAAAGATTTACAGCTGTGGAAAGAGTTCCTGTGAATCAGAACTAACTTGATAGCAGTGGGGTTGTTTTGTTTTTGATTCAGTGCAATGCAGAGGCTGCTGTGGTCTTGCAGGGAGAGGTGATGGGGCATGAACCTGGGTGGGAGCAGTGGACCTGGGAGAAGGGCGGGAATGTGGGACTTAGGGTGGAGTAGGTGTGGACTAGGCAAGAGAAGAGCCAAGGAGGACTCTGTCTTTCCCAGATGAGCTGGGAGAAGGGGATTGCCATGGATTTCAATGAGAAAGCGTACAGGGAGAGCAGGCCCTGGGGGAGGAAATCAGGATGTTAGATCTGAAAAGCTTATTCTACTGCTAGCAAGGAGACTGCTTGGGTACACAAAAATCGCATTCGAGAGAGGAGTTCCAGGCTGGAGAAAAAATGATTGGAGTTAAAGAATTGAGAGGTCAAGGTGCTGGATGAATTGTCTATGTGGATATTGAACACCACAATGGTAACACACGGAGAGAGAAACAATAGCCAGAAGTAGCCGACTGTTCTTCTCTTTGGAAGCTGGCATCTTATGATCGTTACACTTGTTATACATGCACAATATCATCACTGAGACAAAAATTTGCCCTAGTTATCAGTTTCCTCCTGCTTTCTGTTGATTTTACTGCCTTTGCATTTGTTTATGCCATCGTTTTTATCCTATGTTACATTTTTTAATGCGTTTGCACTGTTCTATGTATTTCTCTTTTGCTGTTGTTGGTAAGGGCCGTTGAGTCGATTCCGACCCATAGCGACCCTGTATAGGGTTTCCAAGGAGCAGCTGGTGAGCTTGATCCACCGACCTTGCAGTTAAACAGCCTTGCAGTCTGGTTCATTAACCCACAGCACCACATGTCTTTATATGAGGCAGCTCATGCTTGCTTAGTGTTTGATTCACTGCAGTAGACAAATACTCTTCTGTGTGCTTTGACTGGAGTTTAGGGTTCAAGATAAAGACCTGGTATCTTTGGAATAGAGTCCTGGTGTGGCTTGTAGGCTAAGCACTAGAATGTTAACCATAAGGTTGGTGGTTTAAACCCACACATACAGTATCCTTGGAAACCAGATACAGGGTCTCTGTGAGTTGGAACCGACTCGATGGCACTTAACAGCAACAAGTTCAAACCTACTCACTGCTTCTGGGAAACCCTGTACAGGCTCGCTATGAATTGGCACCGACTCAGTGGTACTTAGCAATTTTTGGAATACTATGGGCCTTCAGGGTTAGAATGAAGTGAAACAAGGCATTGGCTCTTTGCCACTTGGCTTTCTCATGAGAAGGAAGATTAGATTTCAAAACTCAGTTTTAAGTTTTTGAGAAACATGAGTTATGTCTGAACTGAGCTTGTGAATGGATCTTCTACATTCATACTTTGAAATGCTGGTGTTCATTTCCGTGAAGGCATGTTGTTGTTGTTAAAGTGATCCTGTCTTAGGTTTCTGAGGCCTCACATTTTTGTGGGAGCAGAAAGCCTCATTTTTCTTCCGTGATGCGGCTGGTGGGCTCAAACTGCCAACCTTTAGGTTCATAGTTCAGTGTTTAAACTGTGGAGCCACTGTACATTATGAAGACATAGTACATTTAAAAAAGAGAGAGAGAGAAAGAAACCAAAACAGAAGTGAAATATTTATAAATGTATGACTGTTGTAAGTATATGATGTTGTTAAGTGCTGATGAGTTGGTTCTGATTCAGCAACCCTGTGTAGGGATTCCGAGGAGTGACTGGCGACTTTGAACCATTGACTTTGCAGTTTGCACTGACCTTGAGGTCCATGCTTATCCTGTAGCACCACACCAGGACTCCAATTATGTGATAAGTTGTTTAAAATGGTCATTTTCTACAGGAAAATATTTGTACTCACCAAACCTGTTTGTGAAGAAGTATGTAAAATAATAAGAGCTCCCTGTTTGTTGTTTAATTTGTTTTCATATACTTCATTATTTGATAAGAGAGAAATCAGTCTTCTTTACCATTTTGATAGCGGTGACTGGAATGCCTGTTCTTGGTTGCAGGTGCTCCTAGGGGAGATTTACACAGGTACAAGTGTAGCCAGAGTGATTGTGAAGGAGTTAAAAGCCAGTGCCAGCCCAAAAGAACAAGATACCTTTCTGAAAAATGGAGAACCTTACTAGTAAGTAAACCTTAACGTGTTCTGTAAACATGTCTTAATCTGTTGAAAATCAAGCGTTTAAAACTACTTCAGAATAGCCACTTACAAAATAATGCAATGTCATTAGAAACTAAAGTCTCATAACACAATACTTACTACATGTTCAAGTTTCAGTAGAAGATTCATATGTCATTCCAAGAACCAGAAAAACTCAACTTAAATGACAAAGACAATAGATTGCAACACCAAGGTGACAGTTGTTAGAATGATCTGGAAAGGATTTTAAAGCAGTCATCATACAGATGCTTTTGTGAACAATTGCTGACATACGGAAACAAATGAAAGAATCCCAGCAAAGAAATAGGAAGTCTCAGCAAAGAAATAGAAGACTTCAAATTTTTGGAGGTGAAAAACACAATAGCCAAAATGAAAAGGATGTGTTCAGTAGCAGAACGGAAAGGACTGAAGAAAAACTTAGGAACTTGAAACTAAAACAACAGCATTTATAGCATTTACACAATTTGAGCAACAAAGAGGATAAACACTAACTACAAGGGGGCTTCAACAAGTTAGTGGAAAAATTCTCTTATATTTTAATAACCTTTTTCCCACGTTTTTGAAGCCACTCGTGTGTGTGTTTGTGTGTGTGTGTAGAGTCTCACGGACAGGGGAAATCTAACAAAAAAAGGTGTAACATTTATGGAATCAGAGTGCCCAGGAAAGGAATTAAGAAATTTTTAGAGAAATAATCACTGAAAATTTTGCAAAGTTTGGAAAAGAAAGAAACTTGCAGATTCAAGATTAGTGAATCCCAAACAGGTGAAACCCAGAGAAATCCGTGCAGAGTCAGAGTTCTGAAAACTAAAGGGAAAATTAAGACTTTCTCTAATGAAGGAAAACCAGGAGGACTTGCTGTCAGGAGGCCTGCCTTAAAAGAGTAGCTAAAGGAAGTTCTCTAAACAAAGGAAATCATAAAAGAAGGAATCTTGGAAAATTAGGAAGGATAATGGAACAAATAAAAATATGGGTAGATATAATAGACTTTCCTTCTTTTAAATTTTCAAAATTACATTTTGATGGTTGAAGCAGACATCTAACATTGTCAAATGTGATTCTCAAAGGATGGATGCAGAGGAAATATTAAGACAATTATGTTACAAATGAGGAGGGAGGGTAAAGAAACTTGGAGGGAGCCAAGGTTTCTGCATCTTACTTAAAGTGGTGAAATGTTGACACCAGTAGACTGTGATATGTTATATAATGTGCTGTCTGGAGCCACCTACAGGAAGGCAGGAAAAGGAAACTAGGATAAAGAATAGAGGGAACAATACAAAAATTAAATGAAAGACTTAAGCCCTTGTCATTATTAAGTGCCTTCGAGTGATTCCAACTTGTAGCAACCCTGTATAGGTTTTCCGGGGCTTTTTAAATCTTTGCGGAAGCAGAAAGCCTCATCTTTCTCCTGTAATGCAAACGGTGGGCTCAAACCCAGACTTTGTTGTTCACAGCCCAATAAACCCTTAGCATATCAATAATTTATTAAATGTAAGTAGTTTAAATACAGTAAGAAAAAGCCAACTATACACTTACTATAAGAAACTCAACTTCATAACTGTATAGGTATATTGACCGTGAAAGGATAGGAAAAGATGTTCCATGTCAACAAACATTAATCTAAAGGAAACAGGATTGGTTATATTAAAATCAGATCAAGTAGACTCACGACTAAAGAAAACTACAAGAGACAGAGAGATTATATAACGATGAAAGGATCAACCTATTAAAAAGACCTACTAACATATATTCACTACTGTGTGTGCAATAAGGAAGGTTTCTATGGCAAAAAATGTCAAATGATGCAGGAAGCAGCAAAAGAAGATGAAAAACAGACTCACGGTACCAAAAAGCATTGGCTGATATTCATCCATTTTAAGAGGTAGCTAAGAACTGATGGTACTAAAAGAAGTTCTAGTTGCACTGAAGACATTGACGAAACACAAGGCTCCAGGAATTCACCAAGTGAGATGTTTTCAACAAATTGAAAGCACTCACTTATCTATACCAAGGAATTTGGAATATAGCTATCTGGCCAACTGATTGGAAGAGATTCTTATTTGGGCCCATTGCATAGAAAAGTGATCCACTGGAAACGCAGAGATCCTCTAACAGTATCATTAATATCACACACAAATAAATTTTTGCTGAAGAGAATTAAAAAATGTTTGCAGTAGTTTATTAATAGGGAGCTGCCAGAAGCCGGATTCAGAAGAGGACGGTAACACAGGTTGCCTTTGCTGACGTCCGATAAATCTTGGCTGAAATCAGAGCATACCAGAAAGATGTTTACTTGTGTTTCATTGACTGCCAAAGGCATTCAACTATGTGGATCATAACAAACTGGGTAACATTGTGAAGAATGGGAATTCTAGAACCCTTTTAATTGTGCTCATCAGGAACCTTTACATAAACCAAGAGGCAGTCGTGCGAAATCAGGTTTAAAATCAGGAAAGGGTGTGAAGGTTGTATCCTTTCACCATATTTATTCAGTCTGTATGCTGAGCAGAGAAACTGGACTATATTAAGAAGAATTTGGAAGGATTGGAAGAAGACTCGTTAACAACCTGTGATATGCAGATGACATAACCTTGCTGAAAGTGAAGGGGACTTTAAGATCAAAGAGTACAGAACTTAATACAGATTACAACTCAGTATAAAGAAAAGAAACCCTCACTACTAGAGTAATAAACAGAATCATGTTAGACGGAGAAAAGATTGAAATTGTCATAGATTTCATTTTACTTGGATCCACAATCAATGCTCATGGAAGTAGCAGTCAAGAAATCAAACTCCATATTGTAGTGGGTAAATGTGCCTCAAAAGACCTCTTTAAAGTGTTCAAGAGTATAGATGTCACTTTGAGGACTAAGGTTTGCCTGACCCAAGCCATGGTATTTTCTGTCGCCACATATGCATGTGAAAATTGGACAATGATTAAGAAGACTTAAAAATTTATGGCTTTGAATTATAGTATTAGCAAAGAATATTGAATATACCATGGACTGCCAGAAGAATGAACAACTCTTGTTGGAAGAAGCACAACCAGAATGTACTTTAGAAGGGAGTATGGCAAGACTTTGTCCCATGTACTTTGGACATAATATCAGGAGGGATCAGTCCCTAGAAAGGGACATCATGCTTGGTAAAGTAGGGGATCAGCGGAAAAGAGGAAGAGCTTTAACGAGATGTATTGACATAGTGGCTTCAATGGTGGGCGTAAACACAGCCAACGATGTGAAGATGGTGCAGGTCCCAGCAGTGTTTCCTTCTGTTGTACATGGGGTCACTGTGAGCTAGAACCAACTTGACAACATTACAACCACTGTGTATTCAGGAAAGAACAGAGCCTTAAAATATGTGGTGTGGCTCCAATGGATAGAATTGCAAAGAGAAATAAACACTCCCACAGTTACAGTTGGAGGTTTTAACACTTACTTATCAATAATTGACAGAAAAATCATCAAGGATATAGAATTCAAATGTGCCATTAACCAGTGAGAATGCAGTGGCTCTGTAGTGGATTGTGACCGCAAGGTTGCTGGTTTGAGCTCATTAGCTGCTCCATGGGAGAGAAGTGAGACTTTCTATTCTCACAGATTTATAGCCTCAGAAACCTGACACAGAGTTGCTGTGAGTTGGAACTGACTCGATAGCACTTAACAACAACATCAACTAATGTGATCTAATTGACATTCATGGAACACTCCACCCAGCAACTTGAGAATACACATTCTTTTCAAGCACCCATGTGACGTATGCCAAGACAGACCATATCCTGTACCATAAAATAAACCTCCATAAATTTAAAGAATTGAAACTGTACGTATTGTTTTTCTTTCCCCACAGTGCAGTGAAGCCAAAATTTGTAGCAAAATACATAAAAAACTCTAAACATTTAGAAACTAAACAGCACACTTCTTAATAATCTATGGCTCAAAGGGGAAATCTTTAGGGAAATTCAATCAAGTTTATTCAACTATATGCAAGCAAAAATACAGCATAATAGAATTCGTAGGCTGCAACTAAAGCAGTGAGGATGGGGAAATTCATAGCATTAAATTTATTGTTTAACATAAGAAATGAGGAAACGTTTCAAATCAGTAGTCTTAAGTTCACAAGAAACTAGAAAATGAAGAACAAAATAAACCCAAAACCAACAGGAGGAAGTACTAAAGATATGAGCAGAGATCAGTAAAATTGGATACAAAACCAACAGAGAAAACCAATGAAACAAAAAGCTGGTTCTTTGAGATCCGTGAAGTATGAGAGAAACTGTATTATTAGTATCAAGAAGGAAGCAGGGATATCACCACCAACCCGAAGACATCAAAGGCATAATAGAATACTACAGTGTGATAGCTGTGATTTTATTATTAAATATTTGAATAGTATAAATCTGTTGACCGTATACTTAGTATGACCTCTCTAGTGTACCATATTTAAATCATTATGAATATTAAAATTTGGGTAAATATTGGACCAGTTATACTAGCATGCTTCCTAATGAATAATGTCATGTTTTATTTTTCCAGTATTCTTCAGCATCCAAATATTCTTCAGTGTGTTGGACAATGTGTCGAAGCAATTCCTTATCTTTTGGTGTTTGAGTTCTGTGACTTGGTAAGTTTTCAGTAGAAGTTCAAGTTCAAAACTTTCAAAGGTAAATGCTTAAGTTTTTTTTTTTTTAGGGGTTTTGCTGAAAGTTTACATAGCAAGTTAAGTTCCCACTTGACAATAATATTTTTTAGGGGTTTTGCTGAAAGTTTTACATAGCAAATTAAGTTCCCACTTGACAATTTCCACAAAAATGGCTCAGTGTCCTTAGCTACATTTTCCACATCTGCCCGCATTCCCTTTCCTAGTGTTCTGATTGTTCCGTTGCCTTACTCTCATTCCTCTGCCCCCCTCTCATCTTTGCTTTTTAGATCACATGTTGACCTGTTGGACTCATACAGATTTTGTTGTTGTTGTTGTTTTTGGTAAAGCACTGATCTAATGGGTAATAGCCTATATTTTTGTGTGCCATTCTGCTTTTTTGCTAAAAGGTCATCTTGAGATGGTTATTTTTCAAGTTGTAAAGAGCATCTCAGAGCGATAGTCTAAGGGTGCCCTCTGGTTTCAGATGGTCCAGTTTGTCTGGCCTGTTTTAATAATTTGAGTGATGTTCTGCACTTCGCTCCCATTCTAACCAGAACCATCTGTTGTGCCTCCATCAGACTGTTCAATCGTGCTAGTTGGGACCTTGGTGGTTTTGACACATAGACATGCAGGAGAAGGGACTATTTCCAATTCTTCCTCCCATTTGAAGACTGTGTGGTATAATATTTCATAGTCTATTAGCTGACACACATACGTGTCTTGTACTCTGGGCTTGTACTGAACCATTTACCTGTAGTATCACATTGAGTCAAAGCAGACCCTGGAATTAGTACTAGTGTTTACCCACATTTTACTTATGATTAAAATAAGGCTCAGTGAGATTAAGAAAATGTTGTAAACCTTTGATGGTTACTGGGGGGAGGGTAAATTATTCATGGACTAGAGGGTAGACACATGTTAACATAGGTAATGTTGTTGTTGTTTTTTTAAGTGCCATCGAGTCAGTTCTGACCCATAGCAACTCCATTTAGGGTTTCCAAGGAGTGGTTGATGAGCTTGAACCACTGACCTTGCAGTTTACACCAACCTTGCAGTCCAGCTCATTAACCCACAGTGCCACACCCGGACTCCACCATGGGTAATAGGGCAGCAATATACAACAAGATGGAGGTTGGCAGAAGAAAGGTGAAGGTGGCAGGAGACCCAGGGAGGAATGTAAGAGTTAAAGGCAACAGAGGTCAGTTCTACTGACAGATGACACATGGTGCAGGAGATTGCAGTCATCGTAATGAAGCATAGTATGTGAGTTCTGGAAGATGAAACTAATGATCTGCTCTGTATACCTTCACAATAAAATTCTTTTTTTAAAGAAAGAAAATGTTGTGGACCAAAGTAAGTGGTCTAAACAGAGCTTGGATATAGGTTTGCCCCTCCTGGAAGCTTGACATCTTACCCATAGCTGCTGTTGTTGTTAGGTTGCCTCCTAGTGACACCACATGACAGAGTGGAACTGCTCCACAGGGTTTTTGTGACTGTGTATTTATGGTACCACATTGCCAGGTCTTTTCTTCCTCAGAGCTGTTGGGTGGGTTCCAAGCCCCACTGGGCAGGTTTGAACTTCCCAACCTTTTGATTAGCACTTGAGTGCTCACACATTTCTCTACTAGGGCTCCTAACTGTGATTAGATATATCGGACATCTTCCTGATTTGGGGAGCCCAAGAATCTCTTCACTCACAGGATGAGAAATAGGGAATGTAACATTTCTGTTTTGAGAGAACCTACATTTCTTGGCATATTACCTGTTGGGATTTATATTTGCAAAGATTGTTCTTTGTGAATAATAATTTCTTTGTGAAAACTTTCTGTAAACGTCTTTTCCTGTGCAGAGTATTTCATCTCACCTCTGAATATCTTTTTAATTCATTGTTTAAGGTTGTCATTGGCATATTCCAAAAGCAGCAGTAGGATGTTCATTGAATTCGTTAGGGTTTGTTGGGTTGCTTTGTACCAGAACATTACAGTGCACAGAAAAGCAGACCTGCACCCAAAGAAATCCCCAGTTCATTCGGCTGATCTGGCACCAAGCCTATGGTATCTCCAAGGCCTGTCTGAAGGCTTCAAAGGGAGCAGCAGCTCACCAGCAGGGACCCCCCTACAGACACACATCCCCAGCTCCCAACCCCCCAGAAATGGGCCCATCTGACTGAGCAGTTGACATGATCCCAAAACAGAAACTATGGAGGACAGTGCGGGTGCTTCTCTTCACATGGTCTTAGTAGGTCAGGCGCTGTTGAGAGGTGGCCCTGCTGGACAGTAACCTCTGCAGCAGAAGGGAGAGGCTGTCTGCACAGGTACCTCAGCAGCTCCCTGTAAAATGGAATTACCAGCCTGTTGTCAAAAGCACTCAGTGCTGTTCCGAGTGACTTTGGCAGCTGGGCCAGGGCCCCGGGTTTGTAGCGCCAGTGGTGACGATGTGTATGGCATGCATGGAGAGGGTCACGCAGAGTGTCATACAGAACTTGTTACCACCGGAGGTACACTGTGCCCTCCCGGGAATGAGCAGTGAGCTTGTGGTTTGCTAAAGGATCATTCATTCCCCAGAAATGTATCGAGCTCCCATGGAGTGCTCAGAGGTCTAGGGAATTTAGAGATGGATCAGCCCTGCCTTCTCGGCCTTCAGAGCCTGGCTGGCAGAGGTTTGTTCTGCCGCTGGCAGTGTATCACCTTACAAACTTACTTTAACTTTTTGCTTCTGTTTAACCATCTGTAAAATAGGGATAAAGCTGTCTAGCCCTTAAGTTATTAAAGACGACAGGTGATGAATCTAAGTCACTGAATACATTTGAGGGGGCTTCAAGGAGTTCATGGAAAATGGAATTAGAATATATGGGAATTTGTCTACTAACTTTTCCAAGCCTCCTTATTTAAGGACTTAGTAAACAGTAGTTACTTTTATTAATGTTTACTTCTTTATTGTTGTTGTAAAGTGCCATCCAGTTGATTCTGACTCACAGCCACCCTGTATAGGGCTTCTGAGGAACCACTGGTGGGTTTGAACTGCTGACCTTGTGGTTCGCAGTCCAGTGCTGATCCTGTAGCACCACACCAGGAATTATTTAAATTAATGGGTCTTAATTACTTAAGATTTGAGTCATGTGTATACAAACCCACTGTCATCAGGTTGATTACAACTCACTGCATCTGGATACGACAGACTAGAACTCCTTTTTAGACAATCTTGAGTCTGTGAATCTTCACAAGATTGGACAGCCTTGTCTTTCACCCAGGCAGTGGCTGGTGGGTTTGAACGGCAGACCTCATGGTTGGCAGCCCGACACTTAACCCACTACATCACCACGGCTCTTGGGTGATGTGTATCGGAGCATGTCATTGTTTGTAAGTGCTGGTGAGTTAGTTCCAACTCACAGTGACCCTGTATTGAGTTTCCAAGTTGCTGCTGGTGGGTTTGAACCACAAGAGCTTATCCTAGAGCGCCACACCAGGCCTCAGTATGCTGCTGCTGTTTAGTGCTATAGAGTTGACTTACGGCAATCCTGTATGGGTTTCCGAGGACTGACTGGGGAGTTTCAACCACCGGCCTTGAATTCCAAACCGACCTTGTAGTCCAGTGCTTATCCTACAATGCCACACCAGGACTCCAGGATTCAGTGTGTTGTGGTTGTTGTTGTTAGGTGCCATCGAGTCGGTA